TATTATTATTATTATTATTATTATTATTATTATATTAGATCAATTATATTAAATCCCTGGGCCTGTGGTTGAAAACCACTGATCAACATCAACAAACATCAAGAAACCTTAATAAACATGTTTCTTAATCCTCTAAATATTTGAAATCATTTCTTCGAGTGTCTGTGTGATTGGAAACGGTTTGTTATTATTGCTGTAACAATGTACTACATTAACATGCACTGGTGATACTTGTATGTGCATGAAGAAAGTAAACACTGATGTGGATATAAATGTGTATAATGTCCAGGTCTGATTCTTGCCCTCTGATCGTCTCACCTTCCCAGCGCTCATCACCTTCTCTGCGGCGTACACAGACTCTCCACAGCGCGCACACTTCTCCGAGCCGCCGAACTTCTGCGCCAACTTGGACAGGTTTGGGTTGGTGCTGGGTCGGTGAGTTTGGGTTCTAGTAGGAGACAGAGAGGTCAGATGCTGTTTTCTGGAGCGCAGCCTAACGAGGGGTCCTCAATGAGCCGCTTTGTGTCGGGTGAGTATGAAGAGGAGCTCTGCTTACATAATAGATTCTTTCATAACAATAATCAGCTGACGGCGAGCCTGAACACACCAGAGGACGGATTTGCTTCCAGAACCAAATGACTTTACAAAATCCTCTAGAAATCTTTCAATAACACACTACTGGTCAAAAGGATAAATTGTGATTTTTTAAATGTTTTGTTTTCTTCTGCTCAGCAAAGCTGCATTTATTTGATAGAAATACAGTTAAAGTATGAAAAATTATTAGAATTTAAAAGAAGAGTTTATTGTAATATGTTAAAATGTTATTTATTCCTGTGATAAAAGCTGTATTTTCAGCATCATAATAATAAATAATAATAAATCAGAAATGTTTCTTGAGCAGCAAAACAGCATATTAGAATGATTTCTGAAGGATCATGTGACACTGAAGACTGGAGTAATGATGCTGAAAATTCAGCTTTATATCACAAGAATAAATTACATTTTAAAATCCATTCAATTAGAAAACAGTTATTTCAAATTAAAATAACATTTCAAAAATGTCTGCATTTTTAACCAAATAAATGCAGCCTTGATGAGAATAACAGAATTATTAATTTAAAAAAACATTTATTCCAAATATTTTATAAGTAGTATATGTACCAAACCACTATGACACATATGCAATAAATTGTGCATACCATTCATTATTCAACACTGACTACATTATGATATAGTTATAGTTTACAATCCATATGAACTTCTTGTTGAAAAACAATAAAAAATGCAAACGCTCACTCTTCTGGTTTGATGCCCAGTCTCTCGCCGCGGTCCATGTTGAGCGTTCCTGCTCCCTGACCGTAGCCGTACCCTTTCGGGCCGTACTTTTTACCGTAGCAGGACTTGCAGTAGATTTCCTGGTCATGGATGGCCAGTGTGGTGCTGTCTAGCCCTTTTCTACAGACCACTGGAAGAGAGAAAACACTGATTTTTTGCTGCTTTCCCATGCAAAACTCATTGCTGCAGTGCAACAGGTTTTAAATAGATTTTAGTATGTTGTTATGCAGCTTACAAAAATAAATAACATATCTCTTGGAGTTAGAGACTTCAACAAACCTTTAACTCAAACGTATGAGTAATAATAATAATAGTCATGCCACCACTAATAATCTATCATTTTAACCCCATGATTAGAGGCTAGAATGCAACATCATGTGATTTTGACTCGGTTTTGTCAGCTGACTTTGGCTTAGTGCGGGATATTGTCCCACAGAGACAAACATGATTCCACAGCGGGGTGGATGACACCCTTTACTATTCATTCAGCTGAACAAAACATTCAGCTGTGGGCCGCATTGTTTTTGTCGTTTTGGTAGCAAAGTGCCAATCTGATGAATGTGCATTCAGCCGTAGTGAGATCTCACTAAAACATCTCGGAGTTCATAAACACAGCACTGGTGTTTGGATCGGTCACTGCAGGACAAATCAAGTCAGAAAAATATTGCTGAATATTGAGGAATTTTAAGAATTTTGGTTTATTTTAATTTTAATTAAAAAAAATGCTGTCACACAAAATCTGTCCAGTTCATATGTGACTTAAAATAAAATTGATATTGCCTTAACAAAATGAAGCACATTTAAAGGATTTTAAGCATTGCACTTTTACAACAGCATTTATATAATTTATATTCATTTTTTTTTTTTTTATAACCCTTAAGTATACGTTTGCTGATCTTAAAATGTATTTAATTAGTTTATTTATTTATTTATTGCAGTAATGTGAATCACCACCGAAACTAATGGCTATTACAAATAAAATTAAACAATTTAATCAAATTAAAAAATTATAAAATTAAATTAAATAAAGAAGCATCATTTATATAATCCTTTATATTTATATGAGTTTTATACATGATATTTTTATAACTATTAAGTATATGTTTGCTGATTTATTTATAATATCTTTTATTCATTTATTTATGCAGTAATGTGTATCACCACTGAAAAATGGCCATTACAAATAAAATGAAATTTAGAAAAATAAAAGAAAGTCATAAAAATAAAGGCTCCGTTTATGCAATGCAAAACACAATTGCTTTATTTTTTCCTTTGATTTTGGGGTGAAATGTGGCCTGGACCTATTATCATGAGATTTAGCTGAACAGTAAAGTGTTTTTATATGTTACTTACTGCAGAGGAAGCAGCACTTGTGAAAACTCCTCCCGTCACACTGGACCTCTTCAGCGTGGTACACCGTCCCACGGCAGGCGCCACATTTGTTTCCTCCACCCCAGTTTGGCATAATGAGAAACTGTGAAGAGAGAAAATACAATGAGCTCTTGAGTATAGCATAGCTTATTAGTAGGAAACAAATCCATCCTGCAAAGTTCAGAGATCAACCTCAGGAAAATGTTCAGGTGTGCTGGACGTCTACAGGCATGTTGTGAAGTGTTTCACTATTTATGACTCAGAAATGTCCATAAAAACCCACTTCATCCGTCTGGACTAATAAAGACAAACTACAGACTGTAAACACCCTGTAGACGTCTGGAGACCCCAACATCAAAACGCACCGAGACCACCAGGAGCTACAGGACAATGGAGAGGCAAATAGAGCCAATGGGCCTTTTGTTAAATGGACAATGTCTGGAAGTAAAAGGCAAAACAAGCATATGAATAGAACAGCAGTCAGACATTTCAAAGGGTCATTTCAATTTGCTCAGTCAAATAAAATGATATCAGACCTCTCCAACAATATTCAAATAAAATGGCTAAGTGCTCATAAACGTCATTGCTTCAACTCTCCAGGAAAACATGAGCTGTTCTCTGCAAAATGAGATCATAACTCTGAATATAAATGAATGAAGCATGAAAAGAGTGATCACAGGCTGAACACATGTCCAACAGACAATCAAGCATCTCAAAGCCTCGGGGTTTCTTCAAACCAACATCAGTGTGAATGCATGCACGGCTCTGATATTAATATCTCCACTGTTAAAGAGTAGTACATCGGAGGACATGAGAAAAGTACAATAAATGCATGATGATACCAATATTTTGAACACTAACATAATGGAGAATGAATATCACGATCTATAGAGCAGTAACACACTAAATAATATGAATCTGAATCTGGTTCTGCACCATTACTTTTTTGTGTACGTGTAAGAGCATCAAATAGTTTGAGAAAATTACTTGTATCAATCATGCAAATTGCATATTTATCAATGAGTTCCATTTGCATGTTTATTTATGCACATTTTAACTCGCAGGTAAATATTATACATGTGTTGAATCCGTAAATATTAAATAGATAAGTACTAAACAGATACATATTAAACGTAAACAGCCAATTAAAAAAGCAGAAAATATATAGGCTAAATAAATATAAAGTAGGCCTAGTGCTTCCTTTCAGAGGTTATATCATATATTGTGTCAATTTTAAGTATTACAAAGAATGAATTTATTCATTTTAAGTTTTTGTAGAACTGGCATCGTATCTGAAAACACTTTTACACACTTCAGCTACTTATTAATATTTAGCCGAGTTTTCTAACTTTTAATCCAACTGTTGAGAATGAGATCAATAGCAGAATGAACTCGATTCAATATAAAACGTATTTTGGGCTCAATAATCAAAATCAGTTTGTCACACAGACACTCTGGCTCTTTAACACACGAGGTTGTTTAAAACGCTCCTTACCTGAGTTTTCCAGCAGATTCCCAAAGTGCTCCAGTGTGTGCGAACTTCAGCGAACAGGCTGGAATGTCATCACCAAATTATAGAGGAGAAAAGGAGGAGTTTTTTAAACACACACACACACACACACACACACACACACACACACACACACACACACACACAACCT